ATGACCAACCAGTTTAAAGTAAGGGGTAATGCCCAAAATGATGTCTATAAAGTCAGCACACTGTTTAAGCAGCATGAGGTGCAGTTCAGGTAGGCATATCGGTAGTTCTCCTCATGTTATGCATAACATGCTGTGCTACCACATAAGCTCTGTTATTCGTATCATGCCAAAAATACTGTCTTTGTAGGTGGAATGTTATGTTTTTAGATGTTTTTTTTTCTTATCATTACATTTTAGGGGTTTTCATCTTTATTATGACAGGACAGTAGAGAATTCAGACAGGAAAGCATTGGGAGCTGAGAGAGGGGAAGGATCGGCAAAGGACCTCGAGCTGGGAATTGAACTCGGGTCGCTGTGAGCACAGTGGTGCTATCCGCTTGTTAAGTAGAGACGTGTTTTTGACGTATGTAATACTGTTTCCGGGTCCAAGCCACCACTCATTTGAGTTGAGAAAATATTTGTTTATGATCACTTTTTATTAACATCACACATTAAAGCGAATTTTAAAGAAAGGCATAGTGTACACAACAAGTCCTCTGACTGCCTGGACCTGCTGTCTCGAGTGCATGACTGTGTGTGCGTCTGTGTCTGTGTGGTCACGTGATGTGCATTTTCAGAGGTAGAGAGGAAGGAGGGCTGCTCAGAAACGCTACACGCCACAGTGGATGTCAAATCGTTGTCGTTCTAAAATGCCATTTAAAAACAAAGACAGTGTAAACAGGGCCTGAGGGTGTACTTTTCGCAAGCGGATTTGCAACGAGGGCGGGCGGAGGATCGCGATGCCGGTGTTGTCTATCGGACGAACCGTACGTAATACGTACATAGCCGAGCTTGCAAAACTGTGTTTTTTTTGTCAACAACACGAACGTTGTCAACATAACTCACTGGAAATCCAAAATGCTTACACACCGGCGACTTCATTGAAAGAGGAGAGGGTTTAAGTTCTGTCGACGGGTCTCCTGCTTCTGCAGTTTAACAAGCACTTCAACAAGCCTGTTTTTTTCCCGCTTGGCAAGCCAAGCTGAAGTGACATGGGGGCGTGGCAGCATCGACGATTCTATTTTTTGATTCGATAATCGAAATTGAGCATAAATTTCGATCGATTTCGATTTTAACACCCCTACCTTCTACGCAAGCACATTTGTTCCATTGTAATATTTATTCAAAATACCATATCGATTTTCAGCTTGCTTTTTTTTTAAGATGACCATCCAGTTTAAAGTAAGGAGGCGATGCCCAAATGATGTCTATAGAGTCAGCACAAGATGCAGTTCAGGTATTGATATCAGTATGATACCAAAATGCTGTCTTAGTAGGTCAACCATCAACGCTAAGGATTTTTTTCTACTGGCCCGACTGAACCAGTGGTTCAGATTTTTACTTGCCCTGCCAATATTGTCACTGGCCCCACCAAAAAAGTGAATAGCTATATCTTAGCCACAAATAAAAAAAAATGTCAAAATGTTTGTAAATCTAGAATTTCAATATTTAAAAAATGTTAAAGTGTTTTGCAAACAAAAGTAGCAAAATTTGCAGGTATTTTATTGCAAAACAAAGGATGACTGACCTGCCAAACTAACAGCAAATGTACAAAACATCACTTAATTTTTTTTAGTCGTGGTGTACCCTCGTAAATGTCTGCTTCCAAGACATTAGAGACAAATGTTTTCCTTTAGCATCATCACTTGATGTTGCCGCCATGTTGCTGTCTCTTAGCTTTACTGGTTGTTACGGAAAAAAAAAACATGCTCACAACATCCAATCAGATAAGAGGAACCGAGTAGCATTTGAAAAACACAAACGGTTTCTCTATTCTGACTGTATTTGCACGCAATTGACAAATAGTCACAGGCAAATTAAACTTTAGTTACAGGGCATTAGTGGCCCCTTCGGGCCAGTAACGATCCTATCTACTGTCCCGAGCATCTCACACGCTGGCCCCGGGCCATCGGGCAGTCCTTATTGTTGAGCCCTGTAGGTGGAATGTTATGTTTAAGATGTTAAGGTGTGTTATCTAAATATATGATCAAAATACAGTCCCAGCATCGCTCATGTTATGCATAAAAATATTCTGTAGAGACACCCATGATCTCTTGCACACTTTCTAAAGACGTCCAATAATGCTGTCTACGTAGGCAGTATTTTAGGCTTTATGATATCTAAATATGCCGTCCACGCAGGCACGCTTGTTCCATTGTGAGATTTACTCAATATACCTTTTAGGTTGGTGGATTGCTAGGTTTAGCATATCTCTATGATGTGGTCAAAATGGAGGAGCTTATGCTAGAAATGGCCAGCACTCGGTCTAAATAGGCAGCATTTGGTTTGAGATGCCTAAAAATCCAGACATTTTACTAGATTTGCAGATGTTGCTTATATACACTAGATAGACGCAGGTTTTGAGATAATTAGTATGTTAAGCACACTTCGCCTGCTGTCTATGTACGCAGTACATTATGCCTAAAATGTAGGCAGTACATTATGCCAAAAATGTAGGCAGTACATTATGCCTAAAATGTAGGCAGGTCACTTGGTATTTCCCATGTTCAATTTTACTAAAAAATAACACCCATGCAGGCTACTTACTGCAACTTACTAACTTAAAAGCCAGTAATTTGCCTACAAGGTGTTTTTTGGACATGCCAGAAATGCATCATTGGTGCACATTTCCTAAATATAATGTCTAAATAGGCAGCATCTGTTATATTACACATGGAAATGTTGTGTAGGCACACCTATAGATACTTATGATGTCCAGCATGCTTTGCATTCCCAAATAAATCCAAAAATAGCATGCAAGCAGTACAACTTGCATCATGATTTCCAATACGCAGGTGTTAAGGTCATTCTCCAAGCAATATCATCTAAATAGGCAGCCAGATTCAAATAGTGACCACTCAAAGTGTGGACACTAAGGCCTTTAGCCAGCCTGGTGAAAAGGGTGGTTCTTAAAGAGACTTAAATACTGCATTTTGGTACATTGTAAGCACTATTGTAGCTGAAATAGATTGCTGACGGTCATCATAACCAAAATAAGCACATTTGAAAATTCATGGATAACAACAATAGCCAAAATAGATTTCAAATTCAGTTTAATATTGGTCGATTTTGGTGCTTCACACCTTTTCATTGGTCATTTGTTTCAGGATTAGCCAGCCTGGTAAAAAGGGAGGTTCTTCTTTTCTCAAAATGTGGACCTTTTTGCAGTTATAGGCCTCATTTAGGCTACTATATAATTATGAGACCTAAATACTGCATTTTAAGCACTGTTTTAGCTGAAACAGATTGTCGACAGTCACCATAACCAAAATAAGTACATTTTAAAATTCATGGATAACAACAATAGCCAAAATAGAATTCAAATTCATTTTAATATTGGTCGTTTTTGGTGCTTCACACCTTTTCATTGGTCATTTTTTGTTCCAGGATTAAAAATAAAAGTTACTTGTAATATATTTTCTCTTTTTAAAAGCATCCAAAAAGAGCATGCAAGCAGTACAACTTGCATCATGATTTCCAAATACGCAGATATTAACGTCATTAGCAAAGTGATACCATCTAAACAGGCAGCCATTTCAAATAGTGCCCAGTGAACACTCAAAGTATGTGGGACACTCTACCAGAAACGCACATCATCTGTCCCTGAAATAAAAACATAAATACAGTGAATAAAAAGTATTTCATCCCAAACATTTCTAGAATGGACTGATTTCTGTGAGTTGTTCTGTAATATGTCATTAATTTGGTTCTCAGATTTTTTTTCTTTATTAAAAATTATTAAACTGTAATATTAAAAATGATTAAAAATACTTTACACTGGACACTTTACACTGTACAAACTCTGTCATTGACCTTGTCCTCAAACTACAGCCTAGCTTGCATGGTTCAGGATTGGTAGAGCTACGCATCGATGAATTTGCTCTTCATTGTTTGGACTCTCAGTAATGATTTAAACCACACCGAACTTAGCTAAACTGAACTGAACTTAAACACTAAAAACTGAACTACCCTGATCCAGCTACTATGACCATTTATGTGAAGCTGCTTTGACACAATCTGCATTGTAAAAGCGCTATACAAATAAGGCTGAATTGAATTAAGACTTTTGTTATGCTAAAAACTGTTATTTAGAAAAAATACTTTAGAAATGGCAAGTTTAAGTTGTTATCATTTGTTATCAATTGATTAAAAACATAAAATTACAAATTTCTTTTACAAATATATAATACAAATATTTACAATTGTCCCGATTTTTCAGTCAGTCCTGTCATATTTGCATTAAATTTAACATAACATGCGTATAAAATACACTTTTAAGGCTTTTAAATCCTTAAATTGCATGATTTTATGCTTGTTTTGTATGATTTTTTTGAGGACGACAAGCTTAAGTCAGGTCCTGTAATGTTTTTTATAAGTGTAAATGTATGTTTCTGGTAGAATGTCCCATGTACACTTCAGCTCATAGCTTTAAAAGATGCAACACTTAAAAAATTATGCTGCTAACTTATTTAAAATGTGCTAAAACAACACAGTTCTTAAGTTTTATTTTGGACAACTTAATTGTTTTATGTTTAACCAACTTAAAATGGTAAAAACTAACAAGTAAACTTTATTCCTTCATGTTGTCCCAACACAAATCGTTTGTGTGTCAATGGACATAATCCATGATGCTTCTCTGACACCCACAATGATGACTACGTAGGCAACACACTTCATTTTCCAGATTTCCAAAATAAGCATCCTAAATAGCACGTGATACACAAATCACAACTCAATTTAAGACACAACCATGGAAACTCCAACAGCGCTGGAGCAAAACATAACTGAAAATAAGCACAACTTTCATCTCAACGACACACATTAGAATCCGAGGCTGTTTTTCGTTTAGTGTTATTCAGAGGAAGCGTTTCATAACGATCAAAACAAACTTGTGAAAGTTATTTAAGTTGTAGAATGAATCATTAGATTGTGTCAGGGACACATATAAAGCTGTTAGTTACCTTTCCTTCCGCCATGAGCCACACCACCGTCATAAATAACAACAATAACCGTGCGATTAAAATCAACATGATCCTTCAGAGACCCGCGCGACTCACTGACCATCACTCTCGCATGATTCGCGTCTCGGAAATGGTGAAATACAGGAAGCAGTGGCAATGCGTCAGACCCGGACCTCTGAAGTCCGCGCGTGCACAAACTGTATTTATTTATATATTTAAGTCCAGTCCTCTAATTATTTTGTCTAAACAATGTTAGGGGATATCACTCAAATGTAAAAGGCTAAATAATTGCGACGGACAAATAGATAAAGTGACAGAGACAAATACACTGTGATAGATAGATAGATAGATAGATAGATAGATAGATAGATAGATAGATAGATAGATAGATAGATAGATAGATAGATAGATAGATAGATAGATAGATAGATAGATAGAATTAGTTTAGATTATCATGCTACTGTTTTATCAGTTGTGACCAATTATGGATGGATGATGGATGGATGGATGGATGGATATAATTATTTTAGATTATTTTGCTGTTTTCTGTCAATTCTGACCATTCTGAATGGATGGATGGATGGATGGAATTATTTTATTATGCTACAGTTTTCTGTCAATTCTGACCAATTATGGATAGATAGATAGATAGATAGATAGATAGATAGATAGATAGATAGATAGATAGATAGATAGATAGATAGATAGATAGATAGACGGACAGATAGACGGACAGATAGATAGATAGATAGATAGATAGATAGATAGATAGATAGATAGATAGATAGATAGATAGATAGATAGATAGATAGATAGATAGATAGATAGATAGATAGATGGATAGATAGATAGACGGACAGATAGACTGACAGATAGATAGATAGATAGATAGATAGATAGATGGATAGATGGATAGATAGATAGATAGATAGATAGATAGATAGATAGATAGATAGAGATAGATAGATAGACAGATAGATAGATAGATAGATAGATAGATAGATAGATAGATAGATAGATAGATAGATAGATAGATAGATAGATAGATAGATAGATAGATAGATAGAATTAGTTTAGATTATCATGCTACTGTTTTATCAGTTGTGACCAATTATGGATGGATGATGGATGGATGGATGGATATAATTATTTTAGATTATTTTGCTGTTTTCTGTCAATTCTGACCATTCTGAATGGATGGATGGATGGATGGAATTATTTTATTATGCTACAGTTTTCTGTCAATTCTGACCAATTATGGATAGATAGATAGATAGATAGATAGATAGATAGATAGATAGATAGATAGATAGATAGATAGATAGATAGATAGATAGATAGATAGATAGATAGATAGATAGATAGATAGATAGATAGATAGATAGATAGATAGAGTTGAAAGCAGAAGTTTACATACACTATAAAAAGGCACATAACCATATAAAAAAGTCAGCTGTTTGACAAAACTTTTTCTCTTTTAGGTAAGTTAGGATTATCAAATTTGTTTTTGTTCTGCTTAATAGCAGAATAATGAGAGAGATGTTTTTTAAGAAATTGTTATAATAACTTTTCTTGAAAGTCAAGTTTACATACAATAAGATTATTATGCCTCTCAAAAGCTCAGATGATGGTGTCAAAGTTTTGGAAGTTTCTGATTGGCTAATTGACCACATTTGAGGTAATTGGAGGCACAGCTGTAGAATAGTATTTAAGGAAAAGCTCAAACACACTGCTTCCTTGTGTGACAACATGGGAAAATCAACAAGCCAGAATCAACAAAAAAGCCAGATTACAATTTGCTAAATTACACTGGGAAAATAATAATTGTGGAGACATGTCCTGTTGTCTGATAGAGCTAAGATTGAACTGTTTGGCCATAATGGCCAGTGTTACATTTGGAGGACAAAGGGGAAAGCTTACAAGCCTAGGAACACCATCCCAACTGTGAAGTATGGCATCATGTTGTGGGGCTGTTTTGCTGCAGGAGGGACTGGTCCACTTCACAGCATAGATGGCATCATGAAGAAAGAACATTATGTAGAAATACTGAAGCAACATCTCAAGACATCAGCCAGTAAATTAAAACTTGGCCACAAATGGGTCTTCCAAACAGAATATGACCCTAAGCGTAATGCCAAATTAGTTCAAATGTGCTTTAAGGACAACAGAGTGAATGTTTTGGAGTGGCCATCACAAAGCCCTGAGCTCAATCCTATATAAACTTTGTGGGCAGAGTTGAAAAAGCTTCTGCGAGCAAGACAAATCTGACTCAGTTACACCAATTCTGTTCGGAGGAATGAGAAAGATAGACAGACTGACAGACGGATGGACGGTTGGACAGACAGATAGATAGATAGATAGATAGATAGATAGATAGATAGATAGATAGATAGATAGATAGATAGATAGATAGATAGATAGATGGATGGATGGATGGATGGACGGACGGACGGACGGACGGACGGATGGACGGACGGACGGACGGATAGACAGAAAGACAGACAGACAGTTAGATGGAGATAGATAGAGAGACAGACAGATAAATAGATACAGTACATAGAATGACAGACAGACAGACAGACAGATCGATATGATGGACTTTATTTACTTTAATAAACATTCCTTTACATTTTTTACAATGACAAGATGAACATTAAAAATATAAAACAGGGCAAAACAAATAAAGCTGAAATGAGACACAGAAACTAAAGTGAACACTAACGCTGTCTGTATCGTAACACTAGAGATGTGCTTTAAGACGTGCTGCAGTGGAGTAAAGTTCAGTTTGTGCTGATCATGCCCTCCTACAGCACTCAAATCACACACTTTCCAAAGGTGAGGTTGGGTATTTTAGATATGCATATTAAACACCCACATTTATGTGCAACAAAAAGCCTGTGTAGAAACATACAGATGCAGACGCTTGGCTCTTGAACATTTTCACGATAAAACTATTTATACTGTACATCAAGTGCATTTGGCTGTATTTACACTGGCAAGAGAAAAATCTGCTGCTGTTTTACTTGCATCTGACACAGACTGTATTGTTTTGCACACAAAAACACACATAAATTCTGACCTTTTCTCCACCCTTTCATTTCCAAATGCAGTTTTAAATAAAATAAATATCCATTCTGAGACATCGGAGTCTGATCAAATGTATCTGATTCATTTCCAGACTAAATTAAAGGGCTGTTCACACCAGAATTATATTAAGTGTAGCAATAACCATATTTGTGTCATGACTGTTTCCGCAAGTGTCCCACATCACTCTAGAAAGTGTGGGTTGTATTTATGTAACATTAACACTAACCCAAATAAAGGCAAACCTAAAATTAGGTTATTTTTCCATTCAGTTTAAATTACACTTTTTAACCCAGCTGTTGGGTTAGCCCACTTCTGGTTCACACCAGAAATGATAACAATAACTATAACAATGACCATATTTGAGTCATGACCATTTCCATGTCTTCCTGATTCAGATCAAGCACACCTGATTCAGATCATCAGCTCATTAGCGGAGACTGAAAGACCTGTGATGGGTGTAACAGACAAAGGAGACATCGAATACATGAAGTGCTGGTGGACCTCCAGGAACGTGGTTGAGAAACACTGCTCTAAATAATGCTGGGTTGTATTAATCTAAATCTAACCCAAATATGGACAAACCTAAGACTGGTTTAATTTATTTTTACATTCAATTTAGATTCTTTTTTTAACCCAGCTGTTGGGTTAGCCCATGTCTGTTCACACCAGAAATGATAACAATAACTATAACAATGACCATATTTGAGTCATGACCATTTCCACAAGTGTTCCACGTCACTTTAGAAAGTGTGGGTTGTATTAACATAACCCAAACCCAAATAAGGGCACACCTAAAAATGGGTTAATTTTTTTACATTCAATTTAAATGACATTTTTAACCCAGCTGTTGGGTTAGCCTATAGGTCTGTTCACACCAGAAGTGATAACAATAAACATAACACTGACCATATGTGTCATGACCTTTTCCAAAAGTGTCCCACATCACGCTAGAAAGTTGGGAATTTATTAAAATAACCCAAACCCTAACCCAAATAAGGGCAAACCTAAAAATGGGTTAATTTTTAAAATTCAATTTAAATGACATTTTTAACCCAGCTGTTAGGTTAGCCCATAAGTCTGTTCACACCAGAAATGATAACAATGAATTTAACAATAACCATATTTGTGTCATGACTGTTTCCAAAACCCATCACTCTAAATCAGTGCTTCTAAACCACGTTCCTGGAGGAGCACCAACTCTGCACATTTCCATGTCTTCTTGATTCAGATCAAGCACACCTGATTCAGATCATCAGCTCATTAGCGGAGACTGAAAGACCTGTGATGGGTGTAACAGACAAAGGAGACATCCAATACATGAAGTGCTGGTGGACCTCCAGGAACGTGGTTGAGAAACACTGCTCTAAATAATGCTGGGTTGTATTAATCTAAACCTTATCCAAATATGGACAAACCTAAGACTGGTTTAATTTATTTTTACATTCAATTTAGATTGTTTTTTTAACCCAGCTGTTGGGTTAGCCCATGTCTGTTCACACCAGAAATGATCACAATAACTATAACAATGACCATATTTGAGTCATGACCATTTCCACAAGTGTTCCACGTCACTTTAGAAAGTGTGGGCTGTATTAACATAACCCAAACCCAAATAAGGGCACACCTAAAAATGGGTTAATTTTTTAACATTCAATTTAAATGACATTTTTAACCCAGCTGTTGGGTTAGCCTATAGGTCTGTTCACACCAGAAGTGATAACAATAAACATAACACTGACCATATGTGTCATGACCTTTTCCAAAAGTGTCCCACATCACGCTAGAAAGTTGGGAATTTATTAAAATAACCCAAACCCTAACCCAAATAAGGGCAAACCTAAAAATGGGTTAATTTTTTTACATTCAATTTAAATGACATTTTTAACCCAGCTGTTGGGTTAGCCCATAAGTCTGTTCACACCAGAAATGATAACAATAAATATAACATTAACCATATTTGTGTCATGACTGTTTCCAAAACCCATCACTCTAAATCAGTGCTTCTAAACCACGTTCCTGGAGGAGCACCAACTCTGCACATTTCCATGTCTTCTTGATTC